GAAATAAACAAAAATAGATTAACATATCTTATTCTTTATATTAACATATTATAAGATATTAACATATCTTATACATCTCGGAAAAGCTTTCGACTCAGTCTGGCACAAACTATCAAACCCTCCTAATCAAACTAAAAAGAATAAACACCACGCCCTCGCTTAACGTAATTGTCAACTACTTAAAAAACAGAAAATTGTACGTCTCAATCAACGGTACTTCCTTAACCATCAAACCGCAAAACTGCGCAAGGCTCGCTCCTATTTATCCTTTACATAAACAACATCCCAAACATTCCAAATTCCTACTTATCGACTTATGCGAATGTTACTGCCATCTTTGCCTCCTAATGGTACCTCGGAAATGCAACAGAATAGATTTAAGTCCACCTCGATTAGCTACAAGAATATTTCCGCAAATGGAAACTTACAGTTCAGTCGGCCAAAATGCAAATTATCACTTTTACCGAGGAAAACCAAACCTACTGACCAAGTTATTATAGCATATCATAGCATCTCTTGAACATCCATAGTCACATACTATAGCATACACCTATATACAAAACTACATGAGCAAATCTGGTTTACTCTGCTTTTAACAGATTGTATCCGCTATTCTCAAGAAATGGCAAAACCAGGAAAAAATAATACAAATCACGCCATCAGGCCATCGAATCTGGGCTGCAGTAGCTAAGACATACATCAGCAAGATCCAAAAAATACAAAATAAATTCTTGCGCATCACTTCGAACCATGCGATCTGTGAACTCAACGCAATAGCTAACATACAAACAAAGTAAGACTACATCAAAAACTCATTCGAAACCGTTTATTGCCCAGAGCACTAAAATCTACTGATCAGTCAAACAGGAAATTAAAGTGTCAACGTCATCCCTGAAAATCAAGAAAAGACTACCAAACTACAATCATAACAACAACATAAACTCGAAAATGGTTAGACTCCACGCAGAAACTAACGGAGGTATGGGTATTCTGAAATTTTTCCTGCTACCCCAACAAGTAATT